CTGCCCTTTTCTACCCTTCTTTTTGTGTGAAATGTACAAAGGGAACCTGAACGGCACACCGACCCACTGCAAAACAGCAGTTTAGTCCAGTCAGTTCTTTCCCCCAGACCAGTTTGTCTGGCTTATCACACCACAGAGGTGATCCAATATCAGGGAGGAAAGAGCAGGCCTACCTTTTGTGGCTGCACACTTGACCTTACCTAACCCTAGGCTAACAACAGCCTATAACCTCAATAGGCACTGAGGACTTCAACAGAAATCAGTTTCCACCATTAAACACACATGTGCAAGAGTTCACAAATCAGACCAAGCACAACATTTTGCATCTGTATGGTTAAGTCTGTTACAAATGAACATCCTAAAATAGTCTGCAGTAGCACCCGCTCTCTGAAGCTGAGATAGAGAATAAAGTTTGGGTTTGTGCACTCTGTTCTATGACAAGCTTTTTTTCTGTCGGCTGTTACCCTAATTAAAGCTGACTTCATCATAACCTGTAACCTGCAGCCTACATCTCCTAAGGCTTTCCATTACAGGACAGTGTCAAGGAGTTCTTAGCTGGTGACTGGGAAAAAAAAAGTCAATAGCAGCAGACAGACTAACCACATTTAAAAAAACAAACTAAAAAAAAAAATCACAGAGTAGCAAGCAATCTGTCCTGCTATTCAGTACTCTGCTTGTCTACAAGAGCAGAATCATTCCAGCTCCTCTCATAAAAAAAAATTGGCACATCATGTTTTTCTAATCATAATTAAAAACTCACCATCCCACACCCCCCATGTTGCAAATAAAATACAAGACAGTGTAAGATATCTTGCTTATTATTCACTTCCAAGAGTAGTAAATGGCTTGATTTACTGCAAACATTTACTAAGTCCTCTAAAGGTTCAAATGTCTCCTACAAAGAGGGACAATAGGTGGCTGTTGACAGAACATGACATCTAGTCTGTTTAAGCTTTCAGGTTTTACTCTATAGTATTTGTGACAGGTCAAGTTTTATTACAATCTTAAATGAGAACATTCCAGAGTTACAAGTGAGACAGCAGGAAGTGCAAAACAGAGACACAGCCTCACCAGCAAAGCCAGGTCACAAGCACAGAACCTTGGTGCTCTTACACTGGGAAAAGACTGACAGTGAGATTATGATAAGGTTTTCCTTTGAATGACATGTTAAAATGTTACACAAGATGTTGTTGGAAGCAGCAACTGAACTCATGTATTCATGAACTCATCAGTTTATTGGTATTTCCTACAAAAGATACAGTCAGTAATATGCACAAGTTCAAATGAAGTTTTATTTTTCCACACACACATAGTTAAGAGTGAACACACAAGACAGAGAGTAGACATATTTACAAGACAGATAAGCTATAAGCTTTTTTCCATCTTCGAGATCAAGTCATCACAGATTTTCGTCAGCTCATCATTTTCTTTAGTCTGTTGAAGACAGGAAAAAAGTGAGTTTCAGGTATGCCTAACCTATGCTACATCCACACAGTGAACTGAGTTGCAACAAGTCATGTTTGCCAACGCATGGAATAGAAAGTCCATTTACATGCTCATGACTCAAGCAAGTTTACTCTAAAGGACAGATATGCCACAGCAGGTCACAAGGCATCCTTTAAGAGCCTCGGGAAATGAGCCAGAATCCACTACACTGTCTCAACTTCTACAGACTTTCCCATAATACATAGGGACCAGTGATCTAGCAAAATAAGTTTTCAGACTCAAAGTCTTTTTGTTAGATGCACTGATATTTAAGATGACAGCAACAGTTTAGATTTTAATCTTCACAAGACAGACAGCTCTGTATGATGCTGCTTTGATACTTTTACTTGCAGCAATAATTTCCAGTTTGTATAATTCCTTGTACGGTCAAATAGTTTTAATAAGTTCTTAACATAAAATGTTACTGTATTCATAACAGGAACAAAACTAGTTGTGTTAAATGGCTTGTCTCATCTCTTTAGTTACAGGCCTTCTGTTTCCTTATCTACGCAAAACCTAGCCATAAGACTAACACAAATATGGGACTTTTCCCTAACAAAAATAGGTATTACTGACACGTTGCTGAGTCTTCAATGCTGACAAATACAAGGATTAATGGCCTGTATTCAACAACATTGAAAGAGTTCAGTCAATACAAATGAGCCTGTATTAGTGCTAACAGCTTACAAATCATGCATTTTATGAACAAGCTGAACCAGACAGTTATTCAAGGTCCATTCCCAGATTCTGCTCTGGGACATGTTTAAGTTTTAGATAATCTGCTTCAGTAGTTAAGATAACCTCCTAACACAGTAGCCTGGATTAATTGCTTCTGTAACCCACCTGTGGGAACAAACCTTTTGCTCCAAAAAAAAAAATTCTAAACATACAGATGCATCCTGGCATAGTTGTGCCTTAACTTTCAATGCCTGCCTCCCAAATTCTGCCAAGGCAACAGCCATCAAAACCAGCAGAGTTCGCATGGCTATTTCTAGCATTGGTATAAGGCAGTTCTTGACCCAGTCTAAGGCAATAGCTTGAAGAGACTTACTCACGACATTTTGACTGACCTTTTGCTCAAGGCTCCTCTCTAAAGACTGGACCCTCATTTGCTCTTTGCGGAGACTGGCTTGCAGGGCTGCAATCTCTGACTTTGTTTTGTTTCGTACCTGGGCAATTTCCCCATTTGCTCTGAAATGGAAGCAAGATGGTGTTTACATCCCCTTCAGACGGCACAGCAAAACTGTTTACAGAATGTCACTAAGTTCTTATACTTTGGCTTAACTCCCAAACTAAAGAAAAAAGAACCTAACTGCTTTAATGAACCACATTCTGCAACATGTTAAAACTATATATTTCACTCCCAGTACTTGGCTTCTTGACATAGTACTTACTGATTAAGCTTTTCTTCAGCGTGTGCCTTTAGTGCCTTATATCTTTGCTCCTCCTTTTTAATTCTAGCCAGGTTATCTTCAACACATTTTTTCAGAGCTTCCTCATTCTGTCCCAAAAACAAGAAGCTTAGTTATCTTTACGTGCTAGTAGATGGAAGAGTCTCTCCACTTCACAAATAAGGTATTTGACTACACAGAAGTCTATTTGCTTATCAGATTAACAGGACCAACTGCAAAGTCCCACAGACCTACATAGGATCAGCCCACCCTTTCAACACCCTTAACTTCACAAACTAACATTTATTCATCCCAATTCCCTCCCAACATACTCTATTTAGCAGCAAACTTGACTAAAGGGGGAAGGTCATTGAAACTAAGGTCACTAAGAACTAGAAATCCAATTACTTCAGAGAATCCATGGAAAGAGTCAGGCTTTGGACAGTGACAGAAATTAATCCAACATCAATAAAATCCCCTTGGTCAGGCACAGATGCTATGACACCTTATTTTATTAGGTATTATAGCAAGTTGGAACTGATTGAAACAAGTGCTAAGGCTCCCTACTAATTCCAGCTCTTGAATTCAGCAGCTCTGTTTCCAAGTGATGCTTTAACTCCAAGATAAAGAAAAGGCTTCTGAATTTACAGAGGAGAGATGGAAGGGGCACAAGATGAAGGAAGCCTGACACATTAGTAAAGCAGAAACTGAAGTCATAAAACAGACATTATGGCTGTTTCTCAAACCTAGACTACCACGAACCTTGCAACTGATTAGTTCTAAGCTGCAGTAAATAGGGGACATTAAAGGATAACTGAAGGAAAAAAATGCAAATGCACTTCCGTTAAAGAGTAATTCAATTTTTACACCTTTCATGCAACAAGAAACCACAGCTTACGCTCATTTACTTCATTCCTCCAGTCTCTGAAGATGCTGCAGAACGAAGACCTGACTTTACCGAGTTGCTTTATTCTAGTTGGTTTTTTTTGTTGTGGTAGGGGGGATTTTTTTGTTTGGTTTAGTTTTTTTGTTGTTGTTTTTGGGTTTTTTTAAGCTAAAAAACACCCAATAAAACTATTATAATTTTGACTTGTCATAACAAATCCTCTCTTGCATCCATTCAACATGTAGGGGAAACAAGTTGCTCTTATGCAGCTGCTGCTACACAAGAGTATGTCTCTATGAGTAACAGAAAAATCATATGCATGCAGCAAGAAACAGCTCATTCTTCTGTCTGAAGAAACTTTGGCTTCTAACAGAGTTCATTAGCATACTATAAGCAAGCTATTAAGTACAAACCAGTATTTTTTTTAAAAATCTTTCAATAAACAACAACTTGCACCTGGTTTTACAGGTAATGCCTATGCTAGTTAATTAATGGCTGCTTTAGAAATTAATAATTTCCTCTCCACTAAGTCTCATTTATCTCAGAAGGATATTATTTGCATTATAGCATCTTACTTTGTGGTAACCTTCTATCACTTCTTTCTGTTTTTCAAATCGCTTGAAGAGCTCAGAGAAAGATTTCTCCATAGAGTTCAGATCTGAAATAACTTGTTGCTTCTCCTCTGCCATTCTCTGCATTTCTCTCTTTGAAAGTTCCTTCTGCTTCTGAGCATCCTCTAAAGAGGGTTAACAGGGTTACACTCGTGATAGTCATTACATAAAACTAGTTCCACAGTATGCACAGACAACCCCCACACCTTCAATTCCTCCTCTTAAGCAAAGAAAGGTACACAACGTAGCCTTCTCTCTGAAAGACTATATATTTGCTTTTAAGGAAGCAGTCATATTCTCTTCATTTACTACATACTACCTTGCACCAACTCCAAGCCCATTAAAGACCAATTATACGGTGCCTGCCCAAAGCATTGTTTTTCCTGCAATGTAGTCAAAATACTACATTAAAGTTCACCAAAACCAGTGCCTAAGAAGTTGCGACAGAAGCAACAAATCAAAAAATATGTTTTCATTAAATATACACAATAGCTGGAAGATCTGGAGGAGACTGGAATAACTAGCCAAACCAGCATAGCTAAGGCTTTCAGGACAAGTTTTTGTTAGCATGCCTGAGCTATGTTTCCCATAGGCTTAAAGAAGCACAAAAAAGCTGACGTAATATTCAGTCTCCTTAAAGGACTAAATTTAAGGAAGGTACAGATTTGGCTATCGAGCTTTAACTAGGAGAACGTACCTACACAATAAGAGTTTCATTCAATGTCTTCCTAGCTTTTAAGCCACAAGCCTGACTGAAGCAAAGGCCAAAATCTGCCCAGTAAGAACTGCTACTGACATCTTATAACTGAAATGAGGTCAGGTAATAAGCAGTTAAACACAAGGTGCAGACAACTGGATCTGCCAGTTTTAATCAACCAACTGCTCACACTTCACTGGAGAACAAGAAAAAAGTTACACATGTTCATGCCTGATTTAGGAAGTCATCATTACCTACCAAGTGATACCATATCTGTATGAATGTGCCTAAGAGTGTTACTCTAACTACCTTGCCTGAAACATTACACTAATTAATATTAACTCTATCAGAAGTGAAGAATACTAACTTCAGTTAAGAACCTTAGGCTAAACATGCCCCACTCCAAGCCATTCAAAGTATAAATATGGAGCTTACCCATCATCTGTGTTATAGTACCTTCAAACTCAGCAACTATTTTTCTACAAAAAAAAAAAGTTGAACATAAGTTAGAAAAAAACAGCTGGCATAAATACGGAAATATAAAAATGAAGACAGACTCATACCCCATTTCCTTGTATTCCATATGAAGCTTATTGTAGTTCTTTTTCCATTCCTCAGCCTCCAACTGTTTCTCTTGAACCTTTGAGGAAAAAAAAAACCAAACTATATTTCTTGCACAGAAAGAGATAAGAAATTCGATACTCAAAACAGTCTGAAGGGCAGCCTAGGTAGACTTCTAACTTGATATATAGAAAAATAAGTTCTAACTGCTTAACAGATTCAAAATTAGGTTTTTTTTTTTTTACAAATTTGAGTCAAATAAAATGTAGATTGAGATCTAGATTTCACATACACTATACCCACTCTGTGTTACCAATATCTCTCAAATGGCAAGACCAGAGCCAACTCAGCCAACCTCTTGGCTACTCTTATTCATCTTATATGCAGGATATGTTCCCTGGCCAGTAATGTTCCCTCAAGCAGTAATTCTATCAGGTAATACATATTTTCCTTTTATTTACAAGGCAGACAAAATAAGCCACATAAATCTGCTAATATTAAACACTGGAAAGAGCAAATACCAGAAGGTTATTCTAGTCAAGATCAAACTTTTTGAAGTTGTTTCCATTTGACACTCAGTCCTCCGACCGCCATGTATCCAAATTTAAAGACACCTCAGATCATTTAAGAATAACACAATTAATTGTGTTTTAATTTCACATCAGCTGAATTAGAGCAGAGCTCACAGTAACAGCATTAAGCAGTACAAGCACGTTTTGCTGAATGCTTTGTGGAAACTCCATGAACTTAGTTTTGCCCTGGGGTTTCTATAAAGAACTGTAACACTGACAGTTGACTGCAGTGTGAGTCTTCAATGACAAGAGGCCCAAAATACACAAAACTTGGGATTTAAAACAAGAGACAGTGGGAGCACATGATTACTGCACATGATTATTGCTAATTTCCCCTCAAAGTTGCATGGTACACTGATTTTCAGTATTTATTTTAGAATAAATGCATTTTAAGTGTATTGTAATATTTCAGATAGCAGGAAGTGGGGCACAAGTGAAAGAAAATTGTACCAAAAGTTAAAGAATTAATAATATTTCAGCTAGAAATAAATGTGACAAAAACCAGAAGTGTTTGAAGATGGAAACCAGTTAGAAACTTTCATTTGCAAACAACAGAAACTGTGCATTAGTCCCAGAAAAGCATGCTTTCATGTAGTGCCATATTTGCCCAGACGGAAAACAGGCTTATTTCCTCTACTCACACTGAGTTGTTTCACTAAGAGTAATTTTTAAATTTCATCTTTCTTTCAGGTTAATCAATAACAATGCTTGTAATTACTATAAGTGACACAGCTGGAGTCACCCAGTCACACCTGTCTTGCATGTTTAAAATAGGTCTTTGAAACAAGAGATTAGAGCACCAGTTTTAAGATACTACAAAGTTTTATCCCCTATTATATAAATTCTTTGTTTTAGATCAATGGACTAAGAGTGGTCCTCTGTTGAAGCTGCACCTTTTTTCCTGTGCTAGACAGTATGCCAGGCAAAAAGCATCCTCCTAAGTGACAGAAAGCAAAAGATGCTCTTAGAAAAGCAAGTATCTTTGTACTCTAAAGGGAAAAAAAATAACTTAAGGAGCAGATAATCACAGGTCATGTTTGTCTGGTGTCCTTAATGCCACTGCCTGCAGTATAGCTAGTCAGGAATTCCGAATACTCCACTTTCTTCTGGAGATAATTTTGAAGTGACACAAGTAGCTTTAAGGACATTTATGCTTAAGTACTCCTCTTACATTATGTAGTATTTGTCAGGTTACATAACCCAGAAGCCGTAATGAATCACCTATCCAGATGTTTTAAGTGAGTGGACACAAAACTTCTTGCATCAGTAAGATGGAGGTTCAAAAGCAACTTCTGCAGTGATGTAGTTACAGAATACGCTTGAAATCTCACCAACTACTTCTTCTCCCCTCCAGTAATGTTGATCTCCCTCCAGAGTGAGCTCCAGTTCTCACTTGTATTACCTGGACATACTGTTTTGTCTCCCCATCCCATTAAAAAAAGAATGGTTACTGCACTGAACTGGCATTACAGTTTTATCTTGTTTTAAGGAAATTATGTCAGAATCAGCCTCTCCCTCCCATTGGCAATAACAGATATTTCCTGCCTAATTTAATAAAGAGTACTAAGATCACTGGCACTAAGCCCAACCATTCCATCTGATAACGAATGGGGTTTTTTTAATACTGACCATTTCTGAGGTAAAATCTAATAGTGAAGTTTACCCTATTTCCTTAGATACTAGCTCTGAAGAGCTCTGTATCTACTGCTCCTATCATGTGTACAGCAAGCTTTACAGAATGACATGCTTCCATGGAACACAATGGAAACAATTACCAAGTAGAGATTTATACCAGATAGCCTTGAAAGTCCCTTTAGCTTAGGTTACATAAAGTTCTGCTTTGGGGTCACCATACCTCTCTTTTAACCAGTTCAACTGCTGCATCCATGTCTTTCTGGCTATATTTTAGCACATCTATAATAGCATCCACTGCAGTGTTTGTGGAAGCAGCAAAAGGGAGTGAAGGCACATCGCTAGTCAGGGGGTCTGGAATTAGGGGACCTGTGTCCTGTGAGGAGAAAAAAAAAAAGTGAAGTTTCAATATATTCCTATTTTCATACCATTGACTAGCTGTATGCAGATAATTTTATGGTAAGTCAACGTATTTTATTTAAACATGCAAAAATACCTCCATAACTTTGTTACCATAACTTTCTTTGTGGATATCTTCTAGAACTATGTAGTTCTCTTTAAGATATACCAGAAACTGCTACCCATCAATTACAGCTATCAGAAACAAAGCAGATGACACCACACTGTTCCCCACCAATAAAAAAGGCACCATTTCAGAATGACCTGCTGAGAGCATAAAAGACTGTTCAAACTACAAGCCTTAGACTGTACAGCATCAAGTTTAATCAAAGAAGCACTTTTCATCCCAGCAGTGCAATTAAAGTACAAGCTTGTCTTATTTTTGTGGCTTCAGCTTCATGAAAGAGACTGCTTGATTAAAGCACTCTTAAACAGCTCGAAGTCTCCTAAGACCACATGCAATGCCACCAGTTTCCACAAAAGATTTTTAAGAAAATGAAGTCCATCAAAAAGTAACTTTGATATAAGTGAGTATCCAACCTGTTTAAGATTAAGTATTAAACCTTAAGTATTCTGAAATCCTTAGAATATCTGCATAAGTCTTAAGTCCAGAAACTAGCCAATCCCTTTCCCAAAATACCAACATGAAACCCAGTATCATTTCAGGCACCTTTACAGAAGTTGTAAATGTTCCCAGAAGATCTAGTCCTTTTGGTTTTTCTTCAGTTTTTATACTCTCTGCAGGCTTTTCAGCTTCTACAATCAGTTTGCTTAAATCAGCAACAGGACTAAAAATGAAAAAACACCATTATATTCAATACCGCATTTCTTTCAATGCTACATACTATGGCCTAGAATAAGTCAATACCTACCCATGCTGAAGTGGAGCAGTCGTGATATTCATGTTTGTTTCAATAGTACCACAAATCGGTTTTCTTGGACTGTCTCTCAACAGAGGGTCAAACTTCAAGTACAGCGACTGTTTCCTCAAGGCAGACTCTTTGAACTGAAAGGAAGAGGCGTAAACTGGCAGATATGCTGCTTCACAATAACAACACACACATGCCACACACACACATGTAAATAATCCTCTGGAGAGAGGGTGAACCTATTCTTCAGTGGCCAGAGCATTGTTCTCAGGAGAAAATTACATAAGAGAACTCGGTGCCCACACGCTTAAGTCCTTATGTAATATCAAGTGAGCTCAATGTGCTCAGACAGAACCAAAAGGACAAACACTTATGAACTATTTAAAACCAGCAGAAGACACTGAAAGGGGAAGATAGTATTCTATGCTGAATAAGCAGTGTATGTCATTCTCTGTCTTTGCTTATACAACAAGTACAAACAGTGTGATCAAAAAAAAATTTGAATTCAGTGTATTTACTGCCTATTCAGAGCCACTCCTACTCTAGACCAAAGCAGGAGAAAGAATAACTAAGCTGAACTGATTAAAACATGACATGCCCAATAGAGAGAGATTTCTTGAAACTGTCCATAAAACAAAAGAGCTTCAAAAAATATTTTCAAAATAGTGCACTTTCAAAGCATTATGTTCCTGTAGTTTTGGCAACCGGAGGTGAAACATCATCCATCTCAGTTTCGCTGCTATGAAGGAAAAACAGCACCTTTGCAAACCAAAGGCGTTAAGACCTCTGATCCTTAGCAGAATTACTTGTAACTACTTTTCCTTCCATGACCACCCCCTGCTCAGTCTTGTAGACACATTCCTGTGGGGGAAGCAAACCCGTATGTTCCTGCAGGAAAGTTCAAGTGAATCTATTTCAGGAAAACATTTTAAGGCTTTCCTTTCCCCTGCAGGGAAACAAACAAAACATTTCAATGTCATACTTACTGACGAAGTCCCAAACTGTTCCAGATAGTCTATTTCTATGCCCATTCCTAGAACTGGAAAAGGAAGTGTTACACTGAAGATGCAGTATTGTCTTACAGTGAAGCACCCACACAGAAACAAATAGGTGTGTATAAAGCAAATAAATCCCTACTCCCATGTTGTGACCTAGTTTTTCATTAGTTAAAAACACTGTATTTCTACTTAGACAAAAAAAAATGAGGCAAAGACTTCTAAGCTAAGCAAACTTACATCTGCCATTTGTCCCTAACTGTAAGAATATGTAGAATTTAACACATAGTTGAAAAACTTCTGTTGTTCCACTCTCCAAGTGGCAAGCACACTCAAATATTCTACTCTTTTTTACAATGTCCCATAGAAGAGCAAGATCAGCAATCTCACCATTAAAATTAGCACACAGTTCAGATTTGAACAATGAAGTTATAGCCATTTCTCAATATACTGTTTCTATTCAAGAATTAAGATAAGTGACAGACAGCACTGCAGTCAAATAATTTCCTTATCCTTCCACACATTGCTCCTACAAGTAATAACCCTTCTAGGTGGTTAAGTCACAGCTACACAGTAAGCTTTCAGGACAGGCAGGCAAGTGCAGAAAGACCATCCACGCTCCAATATGAAGTCAGCATTCAAGCAGTGCTACAAGACTCAAATACAGGTAGTCACAAAGCTCTGGTGCTCTCAATTTAGGAAGTCCTTAATACCAGAAGTGATTTTTAAGGGAGCATTTTTTCAGCACAGAAAGCCGTCACTCTAAAAAGATTTTTATGTACCAGCCTAAACTTCATCCTTCCAGGCAGCTGAATGATAACAGCCAGCTTTTTGAATTTAGCTTAAACCAAAGTAAGTTAGAATTACGCTTAGGTACATTTCCCATCATCCCTAGTCACTGTAGGTTTTACAGTCCTTCCAGAAGGGCAAAATGATAGACAAAGATAGAATCGACACCAAAACTGAAGTAGATAAGCACATACACAGAGGTTATTGTAACAATTTATTTTCAGTCTATTCTAAAGAAATGCCCTTACCTTCTGATGATGGTCTGAAGACCTCTTCAGGTTCAGTGCTAGCTGTCTGCTCCTCTGCTGTTATTTCAGTTCTGTGGGAACTAGGTTTAATTTCTTCTGCAGACATTGACTTTTTTCCACTGTCAGCAAAAACCAAATTATCTTGAGAAGGGGCATTAGCTGCAGACATTTCAGATGGACTCATTTGCTTCTCCTGATGAGAAAAACACAATCTTTTTACTGTCAAAATACTGATTTAAATGTAATGAAAGTCACAATAATGAACAAAATTGGTTTGTCATAAACTAGCTGGGCAGCCAGCATAATAAAACAAGAGTTCACAGGCATGGAAACTAAACTACCAACACTGAGTACAGCTCGTATTATACAGGAGTCACTTTTTCAGAGTCCACACCCTTATGTTCATCCTTATATGCGATTGCTGATCAAAAAAAGATACTAAATACCAAGGTACCAATTTGGCTGTCTCTGATGTTATGTTCAAAAGAGAAGCCTGCACAGTTAATACTCATTCTAGAGCTGCTGAAGATCGTAGACTCAGAATGCGTTAGGTTGGAAGGGACCTTAAAGCTCATCCAGTGCAACCCCCTGCCATGGGGAGGGACACCTCCACCAGCCCAGGCTGCTCAAAGCCCTGTCCAACCTGGCCTTGAACACTTCCAGGGAGGGAGCATCCACAACTTCCCTTGGCAACCTCTTCCCGTGTCTCACCACCCTCATAGTGAAGAATTTCTCACTAATGTCTAATGTAAATCTACTCCATTCCAGTTTAAAGCCGTTACCCCTTGGTCCTATCGCTAGATATAAATAAGATACATAAAAACACTAATTCTTAAGCCCATCTTCGGTATTTTTTCTAACAAAGTTAAGTCAAAGAACTCTGTTTCATGGAACAACTTAGTAAGAACCTATACCTTACCATGGCAATCTCTCCTGGAAGTTCAGCTTCTGCTTGAACCACTGGCTTGTCTTCTACCACATTCTGTTCGCCGATTTCCCTAAAGAAAAAAAGAAAAAAAAATTCAAAATTCAAGTCACACAGATAGCTCTGAATTCTATCTACCATATATACTGAAGCACTGAACAACATAAGCTTATCTGAATTTCCACTGCCACATTACAGGAAGCTTTAAGGAGGGTGGGGATGTAAATTCACCATCTTGCCAGGTGACAACTTAAGTGACAGAAAGCTCTCCCTCCAACAGTGCTATCTGGGAAGCAGACAGTCACAGGAGTACCAGTTATTGCTATTCACTTAAAACTGTTCTCTTATTTCCATTTGTTAAGCCTATTATTATTTTTTTCAAAGATAGGGTTTTTGTCTAATCAAGAACAGAATTAGAAGCAGCCCACTACTCTTTCTAAAGTAATGCAGTGGTTATTGGTGTAAAACCCAGAACTTCAGAGAAGCCCAGTACTTTAGTTACTGCTGACAGCACAAACTTAACTTTTCACCTTGGTAAATGGTGCCTGACCATGTTACACAGGGAGCAAGAGAGCAAACATTTCAGTCAAATGAACACCTTGCGCCGGTCAAGTTCCGATAAGCACCTGGCTGTCTACAGTAATGCTGACATTTTAATAGTTCACCTTTACAAAGGCAACACAACATCTCCCATTCTCAAATAAAAAAAGTTTTATATGGTGCCAAAAAAAGCACAACTTATAGTGACAGGCCTTTTTATTGGAGACAGCATTCAGATACCAAGAACATGCAAGGAAGAAACAGCACCTGAACTCAGCCAGGGCACTAAGCAGAGAACAGGACTGCCTGGTCCATTCATATGTTGCACAATGTGCAATGCTGCTGTCTACTCACTTGTTACTTGACTGACAGCAGCAGTCACCCAATTCTCTACATTTTACACTAACCTTGGAGGAGAGGGGAAGGAGCCACTCAACCAAGATACTAATGCTGTTCCTATATAAGCCTATTGCCTCCCATTCCTCCAGATTTAAGAGCACCTTTTGCCCAGAGTTAGCCATTCCAGGATGGTTTTCCCAGTGAGATCTTTGCTGCTGCAATATATTGTGTTAAAGGTTACAATTCACAACTGGTTAGAGATACCATCCATTTCTTCCTCACACAAGTTGAAGGTGCTTCTGCATTCAGCTAGTAAATTCAGATTTACTTACAGACTTTTGGGTTCTCTTCTCTCAAGATTTTCACAGGTACTTGGTCTGTTATCCTGCTCCACTGGAAGATGCTCTTTTCTTGGTGATGTACTATCCTGCTCCTCTTGCAGGTGAGCTTTCTGAGGGCTAGGTTGAGAAGACTTGGGTAAGTTGGAAATTTTAGAGCCTCCTCCAAATGGATTAAAGTTTGGATCATCGAGTTTGTCCCAGTCAAGCTTGTAAGATCCTTTAGGAACAGGGATTTCATCTTCCACGTTACTTTTATTCTGCACTTCAGTATTCTCCGTTTTCATTTTGGTAACAGGAGCTTTTTTGGAAGGTGGCTTAATTCCTGTTCTTTTACCTAGTTTCTTAGGAGGTGGCTTTCTAGCAGTGGTATTATCAAAGTCAAATTCCAGTTTTACTGGTCCAGACTTGGTGACACCAGGCTTTTCTGTAGGTTCCCCTTTGGAGATTGCCAGCTCTTCCATAGGCTTTGGCTCTTCTGCAGAGGCTTTTTCTGCTACTGAAACATTCTGAAGCTCCAATTCCTCAGTTCTAGAAGAATTGGTTACATCAGATCTACTGGGACCTAAGTTGACAGATAACTGTACAGAAGATGTAGATGCTTCTGCTAATCTCAGTGAATTGCCAATTTGGCCTACATCTGTGGAAGCAGACTTCACATCCTGCACAGAGTCACTGATCGCTTTCTTAGGGGACAGCTTCGGTTTGTTAGACTCCAGATGTCTCAATGCAGATTCTTTTCCAGAGAAGAGAGTCTTCTCCTTTTCACTTGAATGCTCTGTACTTGCTGCAGTTGAAGCAAAAGAAGCTGTATCATCCAGAAGAGAATCATTACTTTTTAGAGAAGCTTTCTCACGGCTGCTAGGTGCTCTTACAGGAGATTTTTGTGGATTTACAGGAGAATGCTGCAAATGCACTGAACTTTGAAAGGGACTGATGTCATCCAAGTTATCAAAATCAAGATTATAGGAACCTCTACTCTTCACTGGCATCTCATCATCTGGGTAAGGAGCTGCATTGATCTTCTCTGGCATTTGTGTACTTATCACTGTATTTGCTTCAGCTTCAGTCTCTTGTTGATATGTGCTGCATTAAAAAAAAAGTCAGATCACACATGCTATAGCTAGTTTTTAGACATCTGAAAACATCTTTAGAAAGATATTTTCACAAGTAGCTTTGCATGCTTAGAGTAATTTGATTTTTATAGCTAAGGCAGCTGATAGCAAAAGAATATAACAGCAAGAAATCAGTTGCCACCTAAACAGTTAGAAATTAAAAGTGCTGGTACACATGAACTACAGGGAGATCAGTCTTTGAAACTAGGCAGTATTCTTAAGCTATGTGTTCTACACAGCTATGTTACCTTATGCCAGTCATCACTGGAGACTGCTCAACTCACTACAGCACATGGACATTTCCATTTCACTAGGCAGTGAAATAGATATTGCTTAGGAAGGGAGACTAGCAGTAAGCAGCTCAAACACAGGCACAGCCAGCAGTACATCTTCATGTAGATTCAACAGTGATTCATGACAGACTCACAAGTCTAGGACCAAACCGAGTCATGATTCAAGTTCTCCCATTTCAGTCACTACTTTGGTCATTCTGGCAGATATTTTTCCCCCTGAAAGTATGCACCAGCATTTTATCTATGATGGCCTACATACCAAAACAGAACCTGGACTTCAGGCACTCTAAACTCTATACAACAGCAGATCTAAAGAGCAAAGCAGTATACAAGACAAATACGTTTCCAGCAAGAGAAACACAAGATTCTCTCAAAGAAGCAGAAGGATAAAAAGAGTGAGTCTGTGTACTCACTACTGCTGAATATTCTACAAGACACCTCCCCCCGCTTAATTTCCCCAAATTCTGCTCAAATTTTGAGGCTTAGCCTCAGACCAGAGAGAGTTAAGCCATTACTTCCTGAAACAGGATTTCCTCCCATTGTTTTGTCCCTTCTAAAGTTACTATTTCTATGTGCCATCTGTATCTGCTGTAGAACAGAACATGATTAAAAGCCACTCAACTAAAAGCAACACTTTGATAAAACCGAAAGCAAAGCAGCAAAGGCAGGAGATAAGAGTTCAGGAAGTCCTTCTCACCGGGTTTGAGTGCCTCTTCCCTGCAATAGTTCAGCCCCAGGCTTGTACAACTACTCAGGCCCCTCCCATTCTCCTTCAGTGTTTAACCTAATAAATGCCAGTCAAGAGCGAGACACCTGCTTGAAACTTGAATTACTTGAGACTGGTCAAAAGCAACACCCTTCAGCAACACCCAGTCCTTAAGCTCATTTGCTACAAGCAGATCCTTACATTTTAAAAGTACTAAGGGCACGTACAGCAAAAGCAACGTCCTGACATATAATTATGCCCTAACTAAAACAAATTTGGTGCTAGCCCTTTGACTCACTTGAACCTTGTATGTACTAAATCTTCATTTATTCGTGTGAGCAATAAGTTTGGGGCATAAATGCAATTAAGTCATTTAATTGTGGCTGCTAGCTCAGAAGTACTTTTCTGAACTACAGTACACATGCAAGTTAACAGTTGAATCAAGTCCAAACATTTAAAGAACATTTAGGAGTTTCCATCTTTCTCCCTTCTGCCCTTCCCAAAAACAAGAACAGGGGGCAAATGATAGTATCAGGTAGTTAAAAAACAAGCAAAAAGGCTCTATTTTCTTGCAGAAGACAAAGCTAAGATCTGAGACTTCTTGCTACTGGGAATTAGAGAGGTCAGGTGTTTATATAAAGTTTTAAAAGGGACTAAGAAAAGACAGTAACAAAAATATGCATTGAGGGCAAATAAATAATGGTATAATAATAGAGTGTTATGACAACATTATTACAATATTTCTAGTAAAGGAGAGCTGAAAAACCCCAAATTAGAACACTGCAGAATTCAAGCTCTTCTCTTGACAGCTACCATAAGACCAGGCTTATTTGAGTCTTTGAGACCCAGGCTGCCAGACTATAAAGGTGCACAAACTTGTTCGTACTTGGGATTGATGTTATATTCACTTTGTGTTGCTGGATTTTCTTTAATCTTAATACTCATTGACTCAAGGTGTCAATTCAAGCTACCCCTTCAGAACATGTATCTTAAGGAGAAAGATTGAGAGAGATAAAACTGTGCTTAACATGCAAGAAGAAATTTTAAGGTTTAGCTTTGGAATAGTTGTAGTTTCACATGAAAACATTACTGTAGGAAAGTTCTGTAATCTCTGCCTAATGTGTGTCTGTTCTCTTAAACTATTTATCCATATCATAAGTAATCTCTATGAAATCAGTTACTGAGAGTTTAGAGAAACAGAGTTTGGTATTCAATATTGCAACCAAGCTAATGCAATTACTTTTAAGAAAATTTAACTTTTACAAAGAGTACATTCAAACTCAGCGTTAATTTTAATCCTTTTGCATAGTTTACATCTTGCTATAATACACAAAAGTACATTTTAACTATACAGATTTATAATGGGGAAAAATTAACTTGCATATGCTCCACATTGCTAATACTACTAGTGGTGAATACATTACTTACTCAACATCGATGAGTGAAGATAAATAATCATCTGTCAAGGCTTCGCTGCAATCATCAAGTGTGAAAGTAGTCTCAAGTCTGTCCATCACAGCAGGGCTTAAGATTTTCCGAGTCTGAGGATCTCTTAGAGGAGTCTGAAAGGATACCTTTGAGAAAGGGGCAAGGGGCAGAAAAAGGAAGAACATGAACACCACAGTATTTTCAAGCTCCAAATAGCGTACGCGTTCAGCAGCGGAGATCAAAGAAGGAGAAAGAATATAATCAAGACAAGAGTTTACCTTCATAGCTTTTCCCACACTTTTTGGTGGCAGGTTTTCCTTCTGGGACAGGCGCAGAATGGAAGGCCTCCCTGTAGGTTCCGGAGGTGCAAAGAAAATGTCACAGTCTTCCACTGTTAGATCATCACTGACGTTTCCTCCATTTTCTTCGTTTTCTGCATTTAAAATCTGCAGACTCATTCTAGAACATCAACACACAACATCGCAGCATGAATGAGAGGGCGTGGTCAGCCAGATGCACTCGTAGATAATTGAAGAAGTTGGAAGCCTGGCACTGGCAAGCAAAGATTAACAGCTTCAAAAGAAGTTTTAAAAGATACTGGAAACCTTCGTCTGAAAAGTCAACTCTCAGAAGACTTTAAAGCATCTAAATGCAGCACTGCACAGCCCCTCTGCTTTTGTTAAGGGTCTAGGAAGTTAATTGTTGATACTACGCTTTCCACAGTTAACATTATAACATTGCTAATAGTTAAGCTGCCCATCCTTTAAAGGGAGCTCTGTCATTTGCAAATTTTTTCATTCCCAACCCTTTAAAGCCAGCAGTGATGTACACTCATGTCTCTTGTAATAGGGCATCTAGCTAAGCAAGATTACAGCCTTTGCAAGGGGCTGATGACAATCATTTCTCTATTTCATTCACATGGTCTCAGTACCACATTGTACATCAGCAAACAGCCAAAACAAATTTGGTTTTTTAGAGAGTGTTTAGGATCAGAGTCCTCAATAACATTATTTAGCTTTTTCCTGCACTGTCCAAACACATGCTGCTTTTATGAGACACACAGTACTTAAGAAACCTTTGCAGCATAGACATTATTGGTATGCAAATATGTAAAAAATGTAATTAGAAAGGCACTTCTTAAATATTGTCCTTACATTGGATGTGCATAAGCTTTAGCAGACCATATAGGCTGACCTAATCTTCCTAGTGTTTCAAATGTGAAGGACTTCAAACTAAAGCTGGCATCACATTAAGATTAAAGATGAAAATAAGTTAGAAATGGAGAATGAACACATTTCAAGTATCCCAGGCGAGCCAGCGCATTTTAAGTACTTGAACTCTGTCTACCTTTTATTCCCATTGGGGCCCCCACTGTTCTTAAAGGTTTAACATTAACACTCAGCAATGCTGTTTCTGTAAAAAAGAAAGAAAAAACCCACAAAGCAAAACAGAAAAGGACCAGAGCACAGAAGTTATCTTAAGGAAGATCATAGCCGCTGTCTATAAAGGATATTTTCAATCTCATTGCCCTTATGAATTAAAATTCCTGGTTTCAAGTCTCTGCACACATTCCATACTCTCCAATGAACTTGGCTGCTTTGTCTGCAAGCCCAACAGCAGCACTTTTAATCAGCAATGGAATGCAAACAACAGCTACAGAACCAGAGTCAGCAAAACACCCCTGTATTAACACTTTCTTCCTTCCTTATTAATCAAATCCATACTTTAGCACAAGTTATTCTGTAAAGTATTTTTACATTAACAACTTGTAGAACTTGAAGTGACCATCATTGCTTTCCTTCATTCCAAACTAAAATTGAGACAACAGATCAAGTGGATCTTTACAGACTGTAGAGGTTTACTGTAATTACTTAAGAAATGAAGCCTAGGACATTGAAAAAGTTTGCAACACCTTCTAAAACAAGGTCTATAAGCAGAGGAGGTTTGTTTGGAGAATTCCTCAGGTTTGCCATGGAGCTACTTTGTGCACCATTGCTAAACCAGATTCAGATTATTAAAATACCCAATAAATTAACATCATATTTTCACACAACTAAATCTGAAAATCAAACTCCTTTCTAGAATTAAAACATTAAAAGTAATTCAGCATTTATTTAAAATGTTTGCGACCAAGATTTGACCTAAATTCTATTTCACAAGTTCAGTAGCTAGTAGCTGTAAGACAGTGAAACAGAGGCTTTATTAAAGACTTATTTTTGTTTAAAGTGGTCTGTGTCGGATGGATGCAAGCATTGTGAAAGGCAGCAAGGTTTCCCATTATGACAAATCAAAGTTCACAAAAATGAAACCGCTGCTAGTTTTAGAAGAGTATTATCCAGGCATAAGCTGGCATTCTGCATTTGAGAATGAACAGAAATCCAGTGACAGCAGATAATTAAACCTCAGGCACCTATCATTTGTAAATTGAGGGCTTCATGGCAACTACATGTCATTTAATGATCACTGGGGCACGGTATCCAAATCACCAACATCTCAAACGCCTAAAAAAGCCAATGAACAAGCAGGGCAAAAATGGAATTTTTCATTTTTTTATTTAATTATCGTTCTGACACCTTCCCATCACTACAGAAATCACTCAACTCACTACAGACCATTTAAGGAAGGGGAATTCACAGCAGTTTTAGTCAAGACCAAGCTTGAGGGAGGCAGCAGATGCAGAGCCCCGGCCCAGCCGGCCTCCTCCGCCACCGGAGCAGGCACTCGGGGCACGCAGCCCGCTGCAGTGAAACAAAAGCCGGCCTTGGCCTCCA